AGGCATCGAATTCCATGGAGAGCATCATCAAGAAGCATGAAGAAATATTTGGGGGCAGAAATCTATTACTGAACAACACAGAGAAATCTGTGGTAAACATTTTGCATTCATACCTGGAACCATTTCACAAAATCACATCCAATCTGAGCGCCTGTAGGGTCTCCACGATCGGTCTGGTTCTATTCTTCATGGATCACGTCTTCGAACTGATCAGCGCTTGCAGAGACGCCGGCCGCCATGACTGGCTGAAGATCATCGCAGACGACATGGCGAAGCGTGCCCGGAGTTTCAGCTCTCAGGGATATAACCTCTTCACATATATGGCTGCAGTTCTTGATCCGAGAATCAAGAAGGAGCTCATTCCCGAAAAACTCAACTCCGAGAAGAACCTCGAAGAAGCCAGAACCCATTTCACAAGACATTATGCAACTTCTCAACTCCCTTCCATGGCGAACGGATTCAGTTCTCACGATCCGGATGAGGACGACGCCGTATCATTCGCCGAAGAAATCGCTCGAAAACGGCGTCGATTGAGCGCGAACACCGCGACCGATGAACTTTCTCAGTATTTATCAGAACCCCCCGCTCCGATCGCGACCGATGTTTTCGAATGGTGGAAGGTGAATAGTTCGAGATACCCTCGGCTGTCCGCCATGGCTCGGGACTATTTGGCTGCGCAGGGAACATCGGTGGACCCCGACGAGTTATTTTCGAGCAGAGGGGATCGGATTCGAAAGCAGCAGTTCTGCTCCTCTTATGGAGTGATGCAGGCGGGAATGTGCGTGGATTCATGGAGTCGGAGCGGATTCAAATTCAAGTTTAAATCTTCTGAAATAAAGTTTGAGAAAGAGGGAGAGAACAGCTTGGCGGCTTGAGGTTGAAGATGATAGAATTTGCATTATATTGTAAATGCGCATCTTAGCCCACAATTCTTATGTATTTACATATCCCATACCTAAAATTTTATATTTACACATATAACCCTCTAAACCTTAATATCACATCAAACCAAAGTCTTTAGGTGTGGGATATGTAAATACATAAGAATTGT